TAATTATAAATCAGAGCTATTCTTGCTGTTTCTACTGCACTGCACTGGGTGCTGTCACATCTGAAGGTCTGACTCTGAAAGGATTCTTTCACTCATGCCCTTGGATTTTAGGCCAGGTTTTATTAGACAAGAATGGCCGCTGCACTGGAGAAGCAGTTTGTGGACCCTCATGCCTATGAGTCCTAATTATAGTCAAGTTCATCAGTGATGCCGAGACACCACAAAAAGCCCTGCCACGACTTCTTCTGCTCCAGTGCCCACAAAGGCTAACAGACAGCCCATTTGGAGGAAAGAGACATTGTAGGAAAAAGATATTGTTTTCAATAAGCCACAAATAATAATAGAAATATTGGACTTTGTTCTCCACATCTGTATTTTAGACTGTAAGTTTTTGAAGCAGATTGTCTGGTCCAGGTGTGTGAACTCATCTGTCATCCTGCATATCCTCTTCACCCTGCCATCACAGATGGAAAAACACAATACGAAAAGATGATCCTACCTGCGTCATGCACTCTGTGATAACTGACCCAGCCTATAGTACAAAGCTTTAAGAGGAAATATTGAATTAATAATCCTGCCACCAAATCATTCCAGTTTCCTTTCCATACAGTGACTAATAGCAATATTTATATACACACATGAACTCTGTCAGATTTTATAATGGCTGCTTCAGGAAATGCACAAATAGCTAGCCTTTTGCTGTTGGATTACAAGTCTTTGCAATTCTTATCAATGCTCATCAAATTAGAGAAAATGACAGCCCATCTGACAAATCAATCCCGCCTGCCTGGAAGACTGTTGAAACAAGATTTGAGTGCTGTCTCTAGGGGGGAGCACTGTTGGAGACTAGCTTCAGCTGAGGGTGCTGTTTGCCAATAATGGTAAGAGAAATACCACTCCACAGCAGAAACTCACATGCAGCCTTGCTGCCAGCTTGAACAAGTCTGCCTCCGCTGTCCTTGTCCCTGGTCAGTCCCTGCCACTGCAGCCCAGACATCCATGAAAGGAGCCATAGCCCCTCATCAAAGTGCAGAAAATTAACCCAAGAATAAGAAAACTATTTTCATGAGCTAACTTACCCAACACATCCCGTGATTGCACAAGCACTTGGGCTATGAAATACATGGTTTAGGATGAGAGGAGGGAGGTGGTGCTGCCAACTCTTTCAACAGCAGCCTGCAATTAGAGTCACTTAAGCCAGCTGTGAAACTACATCAGATTTTGATTTTCCTCCAATGCTTGTGGATGGGAGCAGGGCAAGGGTAGCCTTAAAGCACAAAAGAAAGCATGTTTTTGGTAAGGATCAGATTGGTCTAGCTATAGGCAGACTTAAAAGGTCCATGGGCATGAGGTGGAGAAACTAGTGGTAAAGAGAAAAGGACCATAGACTCCAGAGTTGAAAGTCACACTGCAGGATCAGCCTTTATTCACAGAGATCCTACATGATGGCAGGCAAGCATCTGAAATCAGATATTTGCAAGGCACTTGGTAGTTTACTGATAATTTCCCAAGTGCCTGACACAAGCCCCAGCACCAGTCACACGGCCGAAAACAAAGCCAATGTTTCCAAAGGTCTATGTGCAATGAGGAATCTCTGAAACCCTGGTGAAGGGTGCAGGGAGGCCAGCAGAGGCAGGGGCCATGAGGGCTCTACAGCTGATGATGAGAAAAGGTTTAGGAAAGCTAAGGCATATGGCTCGGTCTCCCTGCAGAGCAGCTCTGCATAAATGACCTTCCATTAGACACCCTCTCCTGAAATTGGTCTGAAAATGGAAGTTTTATTTTCTTTTCTGTCCAGAGTCAGATACTCAGAGGTGACCCCAATGCCTGCTCAAGACCCCAGTGCCCCAAATCCCTGGCAGTTCTGGGCCATGGTGCGGGGAGGACCCATTTTTTGTTCACATCAGGCACCGCCACCACTAAGGAAGGATAAATACCAGTCACTGAAGCACAGGTTTTCTATTGCTTAGGGGTATAATGGATTAAGTAGTGGATGCATTAAATGATCCCTAACTATAATTAGCTCCCTCTGTGCTTGTAACACTACAGCCTCATACAAATGGTTTCTAATGACACATGCAGTGTCTAGGAACAGGGTAATAGCTATCTAAATAGTTGCTGATCCCAGAGCAATCCAAGACAGTGTATTTTACAATTATTGAGAAACTTTGGACATTTTTTAAAACTGCTCTAGGCATTGACCTAGAGAAAAGCTTGGTCAGATGAGACCAGAGATGATGCCTTTCCCCTAATGGCAACAGACAGATAATGTTCTAGTTGCCAGATATTACTGCTGCCCCAGTCTTGATTATCCCTGTTACCAGTGTTTCTCTGAGTACAATTAGCAAAACAGATAGCCTTCTCCCAGCTCATGCCTACGGTACAGACACTCACAGAGAGTCAAGACACCTTCCAAAAAAATATTGTTATCTGTGTGGTTCTCAGTTATGTATGTTAACTACGCTAACATAAGCAATGTTCAGAAATGAAAGATTATTCATTTAATACTGGATCATAAGTATCATCAGTGAATAAGACCTATAAAATGTACCATGGCCAAAAGGCTGCTGGCCACACTGGGCAGCTGGGCTTAGGGATTGAAGCCTGCTGTTTCAAAATTCAGCATATTATGACTTTTTTTACTTTTTGAATAATAATCTCCTTTGATCTTGTTCATTGAGCTGAGGATGATGATGACACTTTTATTCAAGAACAGTCCTTTGGTTCAAGAAATATGGAAAATCACAGCTCTTGTGAATCATGAAGCCCAGAAGCAGAGACCCAAAAGAAGACACGTTTGCAACTTCAGCTACCCCAGTAACAAACAGCCAACTCTAATTGTAGGTGTTCTATTCACCAAAAGTGACAGAAAGTATGCCACAGTTCCTCAAAAGCATATCATGCCAAAGGAAACCATCATTGCTTGCATGAGATGAAAACTGTACTTCGTTGGTTTTAATGAAGGCAGTATATCAAAACATTTTTCACCTGACCTTGAAATGGCAACATGCCTGATTCACTTTGGTGATCAGGTTCCACTTCACAGGAAATGGAGAACAAATTTAATTTTCTCTTTTATAAACACATGCACACACACATACACACTAATTTAAATGTGATCTCCTGTGATTTGAATACTACAGGTCTAGCTCAGCATGCAGAACTGCATCTGCTCACTGAAGGCAAGACAGCATGAATGACAGAGGGCAAAAGAGATCACGTTCAGCCACCCAGGTCTAAGAGCTGATACTGAGCCACTAACTGAGGTTTTCTACCAGTCTCCTAATTTACGGGCGCATGCAGTCTTAGTCTGCAGGGAGTGAATGTATATGGCTGCATAGCCATTTAAAAAACCTGCTTCACTGTAAAGAAGACATAAATACATTCCATTTGTAGTGCTCTTTGCTCAAAGCAATATCAAAGGGAGAAGCAGAATTTCATGTTTTCAGGTAAGCAATATTTCTCCATTTTTGGTTTGGAGGGTTCAAGATTTCAGTGGAGAACTGATCAGCAGTGCAAGAAACCTAAACATGATGAATCAAATACTCTAGATTTTTTTTCTAACTTTACTTGAAATATACCAGTGAGAGGCATAAAAATGGATGACAGCAGTATCACCAAACAGCAGAAAAGCAGAGAAGAGTGAAAACTCATGAATGTCACTAGATTTTGTGAATGTGTATCTGGATTTGTTTAAAACAAGCTTCATGGCCTTTACGTAACGCATCTTTAACTGTAAAGCCGCTATACCAGAGCTAATAGTTGTGTTAAAAGGCATCAGTGTTTTAACCAAATTACAGGCAGATTGTTCAAATTTCTCTCTGAAGTGCTTGAGAGTAACAAAGTGATACCCATCTTTCTGACTGGTTATAATCAAACAATTCCTGTTGTGTCCCAGTTTTCATGATTGGCTTTGTCAAGGAAAATTTGTCATTTCTACCAGACACTGGGATAATGAAGAAATACCCATATAGGTAACATGCTAAATGCTCTTAACAGAATCAGATAAAAAATGAATTCTATACACAGGGTTTCCAGAACTGCAATAAAAGCTATAATTATGTCTTTTTGTTGCTTTGTTTTCTTTTGTTTTTTCTAATGTGATGACTTCATCTGGATGTTCAATGTAACACTGACTGAGTTTAAAGACTGTGTTTCTGGCACGAAGAAAAGGGTTTTGGTGTTGATAGTACCCTGTCTAGCACTTTATGAAGTCACTGAAAAATATTTTCTCACATGGAATTGGTTAGGATCTGGAGGAGTAGTGGTCACCTAAGATGTTGAAGACATACAGTGGCATGTCTCATGCCTCACTTGAGGCATCCAGGTCTGAACCAGTCACCTCAGGCTGCTTTTGTCGTCAGTGGAAAGAAATAGGTATGCCTCCAAAAAAGTAAATAATTTTTCATAGAAACCTCACATATGGGAAGATATATTATGTCCTGGAGGATCCTACCTCTCTCCCTTGATGATGAAGAGGGGCTTTAAAGAGGGGCCTAGGATGACTGGCTTCACTTTAAGCATCTAACTTTCTGATATCTGAAGTTATATAAGATGATTTTTATCCTTGCTTACCACTGTTTCAGGTTAAAGCACTACCAAGAAAGGTTGTATCTTGAACTCACTGTGAATAGATTCAAATTGGCTATGGTAGATAAGAAACCATTTCAAAGACAAGTCTATCTGGCTCCAGTTCACACAGAATGGGAAGCAAAATCAGTGCTTTCACTCAATATCTGTGCTTTCCATCTTCACTCTGCACTTTCAGTAGCAGTCTTTAAAAGCTTAGCTGGACCTTTTTTTCTTGTTTTTAATAGCTTTATACTCTGATGACTCCAAGAGAGCAACCTCATATTTATGGAATGAGCCTTGATTGTCAGGTTATTGGAACATCAGGTCCTGAGATCTGTATTTGAACCTGCCATCTTTCGGTTTTCATGAAACAAGAACAGCACCTCTGGTTTCATGAGCACAAAAAAATGATTAGCTCAGATTAATGTAGATAAGATATGGGTACAGTTCTACTACTGTCTAAAAAGCTAAGACTAATTCGCAGTCTTGCAAAATCTTGCCCAAAATCTCTCTAGGTCTATAAATATGTGCTTTCTACTCCTGCAGATTTCCAGATAAGCAGTAATTGTCTTCTTCAAGGTAGGAGTTTAAATAAATCAAGAGAAGAAAAATAATTATCAAAATAAAAAATAAAGGAGAGAGGAGGGTGAAGTTAAACTTTTCAGTGGGGTTACCTAGGTCAGACCTGGGTATGCTGGCAAATCCCCATTTTTACTCTATTATGCCTTGTCAAACATATACATTTGCTCCAGCAGCAAATGATGTAACTGAATGCATTTGTCCCAACAAATCAATTAAAACTAAACACCTGATTTTTTTTGTAAAGCTTTAAGAAGATCTCTGCAAACATGGCATCTGAAAGCACCAGCAATTTTACTACTCAATCAGGCCACACAGACCCATTTACAACCTGCAAGAATGAAGATTTCTCAGAAGGGAAATACTATCTCACTGTCTTTTACAGCCTAATCTTTGTACTGTGCTTCCCGGCGAACATCGTCACAATTTTTGTTTACTTTGCCAAGATGAGGCCCTGGAAAAGCAGCACCATCATTATGTTCAACCTGGCTATCACTGACTTACTATATTTAGCCACACTTCCTTTCTTTATACACTACTCTGTTAATGGAAATAACTGGATTTTTGGAGACTTCATGTGCAAGTTTATTCACTTTGGTTTCAACTTCAACATGTACAGTGGTATTATCTTCCTTAGCTGCTTCAGCATCTTACGCTTTTTCGTAGTTGTCTACCCAATTAAATTCTTTTTTGTTAAAAAACGGAGATGGGCAGTGGTGACTTCCGTAGTTGTTTGGATGATTTCCCTGGCCACCATCAGCCCCTTGGGCATCTTGATTGCCACAAGGCATGCGCAGAACAAGACAATCTGTCCTGACCTCTCTGCTGCTGCGGATCTTCAAACTAGTCGATGGTATAACTGGCTGCTGATGTTTGCCTTCCTATTGCCCTTGCTTACTGTGACTCTGTGTTACACGCTCATTATTTACACCTTAGCCACTGGGCCACACACACAGGCTTTCTACAAACAGAAGGCTCGCAGACTTGCCATTGTCATCTTAGTGCTCTTCTATGCATGCTTCCTCCCCTTCCACGTCTTTCGAGGAATTCGCCTGGAGGTCCGAGCACGACCGGTTAGCTGCCACTTGAATAACTTGATCCATGATATGTATAATATTGTTAAACCTTTAGCAGCATTAAACACCATTGCAAACTTACTGCTCTACGTAGTGACAGTAGACAACTTCCAGAAAGCAGTCCTCTCCCTCCTCAAGTTACTGAGAAACAGGTATTTGAAGTAGAACAGATTGATGCCATAAAAGTTACGGAGGAAGTGTCCAAACCTGCCCTCAACTAGCCAGGTACAACCTCCCTGCCATCAGGGTACTCAGATTAACCCTTCCAATGCCAAAGGGGGTTTAATCTGTTCTGTGTTTTGAGTTACAAATTGATCATCAAAGATAAAACTTATAAGATAAAAAGCTTTAAATAAAATACTAAAAAATTAAATGTGAAACTTCTCAGAATTTTTTCTGCATTTGCCTCCTGAATCCTTGATGTCTCTTTTGGAGAATGCACAATAGTTCTAGAAGAAATATTTGCTTATTTGTGGCTGATACAGATTCAGGGTGTGATTAATTTAATTTAATTTTAGAAACTTAGAAGATAAGTGTCTAGTTTAAGCTGGGTGCCTGCCTTTGACTCATTTCCTAAGCAATGGAGATGGATAATCTATGATTCTGTAAGACCCTCCAGAGGGTTCATCACTCTTGTCTTAGACCTGTGGGAGGTTCAACTCACCTCCCTGGAGACATTCTCAGGGTAGGTGTATGCATATAAGCTAGTCACCCCATCCTCCTTGTACAATTTCCCAATATAGTTGAGAGAAACAAGCAGGTTTAGAGTGTAATTCATGTAATTATGCTTCATGCCTACATTTGGACAAGACGAATCATGACCTAGAAGTGCCTTTTTCTCTCCATGGACCTTAAAAGGTAAGTAGATCAGACACGGATGCAAACGTTCATGCCTGTTACATAGCTGAGGCCCTGCTCGAGTACAGAGTGCAATGGAACACTCTCCAAAGGTGTCTAAAAGAGGGGCTTACGCAGTAAGATCCTGTTAAGCACTTCCAGCGATCACCTAAAGATTAATGGTACAATAATACAAGACTACTCCTATAAGTGTTTTTCCATATGAGTAGCTGTGATTTCTGGATTAACTGTAGTCTAGACGTGAGAAGTGAATGAATGCATAAATGTGCCATATCCACAGAATCATAGAATAGTTTGGGTGGGAAGGAAACTTCAAAGGTCATCTGGTGCAACGCCCCTGCAATAAGCAGGGCCATTTTCAACTGTTCCAGGTTGCTCAAAGCCCCATCCCACCTGACCTTGAATGTTTCCTTGGGTGGGGCAACTACCACCTCTCAGGGCAACCTACTCCAGTGTTTCACCATTCTCATTGTAAAAAATTCTTCCATATATCTAGTCTGAATCAACTTTCCTTTGATTTGAAACCATTACCCCTTGTCCTATCACAACAGGTCCTCCTGTATCTCCATCTCTCTTATAAGACCCCTTTAAGTACTGAAAGGCCATAACCAGGCCCCTGGAGCCTTCTCTTCTCCAGGCTGAACAACCACAGCTCCCTCAGCCTTTCCCCACAGAAGAAGTGCTCCTGTGAGTAAAACGCAGACATGGACCTGCTCCAACAGGTCCATGTCTGTCTTTTACTGAGGACTTCAGAGCTGGATGCACTACTGCAGGTGGGGTCTCACCAGAGCAGAGCAGAGGGGCAGAATCACCTCCCTTGACCTACTGGTCACACTTCTTTTTATGCAGCCCAGGATATGGTTGACTTTCTGGGTATGAGTATACATTGTTGCATCATGTTCGCTCTTTCATCCACCAGTACTGCCAAGTCCTTCTCTGCAACCCACAGACAATACAAAGTCATTTTTGCCTGTTTCTTTATTCATTGAATCTCTGTTTGGTCACATCAGGCAGCATCATGACAGTGGCAGATTGTCAGACATTGCCTGTTAGTAATGTGGGGCTTGGGGACTTTGCAACTGTGCCAGTGGAGAAGAAGACATAACTAGTTTTGCCTCACCAGGTGTTCAACACATGCATCTCATTTGATCCCCACCTCCAACAAAAAAGAAATACCTGTTTTTAGGATGATTAAAGATCCCAGCAGACAGTCCAAGATTACCTAAGCAAACAGCCTGTACTTACTACAGACCTCGATGAGTGTCACGTGTGGGAGTGCATAAGGGACAATGAAATGGGAAGGGGAAGAAACCCCATCTCAACTTCCATGAGACTCTCATCTTCTCTGAACTAATATGACACCAATCCTCCTCCCCTCCTCCACTCCTCCCCCCCATTTCTTTGCTTTTTTCATATTACTTTTTTCTCTGGCAGCCTGTGCTCTGGGATACCTCTGCAGACTCCACAAGGAACTGGAGTTAAGGCTTAAACACATCTGCAAGGAGGGAAGGTTTTGCACAGAGACTTTGTGGAGTAGCCCACAAAACCAACTCAGCTGGTGACATTTGGTTTAGAAGTGTAACCACACAAGGATGCACATTAAAAATGTTCTTTAGTCTTGCAGCAGCAGTGGAGAAGAACTTCTGCCAATTTGTCAGCTGTGTCTATTCCCAAGGGGTAAACCTGAACCTCAGTTAAACATACCATTACTTATTTATTATTTAAGCACTTTATTTAAAAACTATGACTGCCAGTAACCTTTCTTTTTATATATGTACAAATCCAATGCAAATAGCTGTCTAGAATATCCCCACAGATCCATCAGCAGATTTCCACTTTATAAATCCACCTAACCAAACATCAACCTCAGTGGCTGCTAATGGTTTGTATATGCAAACCCTGAGGAACGGAGACAAGGATGACTTAACTTGCAAGCACATGCACTAGGCTGAGATCATGAAACAGGGGTTCAGGCATTAGCTGCAAATTATGCTGAAATTTCGAATCTGCTATCTAAAGCCTTCCCAAACTTCTGTGACTTCTTGGGCCAACATCACAGGGATGGTAAAAACACCAAAATACCATGGATTTGTATAGTAGAAGGAAATTAGGGTGTTAGGTGTTTCTGAATTTTATGTAAATCTGCCAATGGAGGTACAGTGGACAATCTCACCAGTTTGTATCTTTTGTTCTACTGTTACATACCACAGCCACAAAGAAGGTGTAGTTGCTACTGCTTTTCAAAAGTGACTGGAGCAAGCTTAAACCATCTGAGCTTAAACCACAACAGAAAGCAGTCAGTTTAAGTTCCACTCCTAGTCACTTGGGAGATTCCTCATGAGAGATACAGAAATATGGGAGCAACAGAAAGGCCAAATGGCTGCATTTGTATCACTGTGTTTCTCCTCCACCATCCACAGCAGGATTGAACTGAGTACATCAGCAGTGGTGATCCGGCTCATCCCAATACCAGCAGGGCTGACAACTAATATAAACACAGAGGTGCAAAACTTCTCCAAGAGTCACCAGTGCAAATCAAGCCTCCTTGTCTTCAGCAAACACAAGTGCCTGATTTTCAGGCTGGCTCCTTGGCTCCAGAGAGGACTGGGGGCTCAGGGATGTCCCCATGCCTTGCTTTTCTTGTCACCTCCATCCTGCTCTCAAGGCAACCTCTCTCCTTCCCTGCCCAGCTGCAGCCGTATATTGGAGTTGAGGGCCTGGACCTTATGCACAAGATGTTCTGGGAGAGAGTGTTTGTGGAAGGATGACACACAGACCCAGGAAAAGCAACACATAGGGATGTACCAGAGCTTGCTACTCCTCAGAAGTTCCAAACTGATCTTCCTTGTACCTGCCCTTCCTTTTATATATGATGGAGAAACAAGCCTGTAAGTTCAGAAAGAAGTCCAACAACAGGAAAATCTTTTCCTCACATGAGTCTCGGGAATGATTCCTAGCAAATGTGCAAGTGGAAAAATGGGCTGATTTATGCCATGGGGAGTCTTCTCTGGGAGGGGAAAATATTGCTGTGCAGCTCAGGAGAGGTCAGAGACATCAATGCCACCCATCAGCCCAAGAAGGAGGGATAATCTGGCTGTGAGCCCAGTACAGAGCCATGTTGGTGCTGCTGATTCACAATAAATCAGTGCCAGGCAAGTCCAAATACTTGTCCTGGAGCTGACTGACCCTCCCATTTAACCAGAGAGAGTCAATTATTTCCCCTGACACATTTTATCCTTTTAAAATTACAAGCGCTTTGGGGCAGAAGTCTAAGTGAGTATTTGCACAGCAGGATCTGAACCCTGAATGGGCCCTCCTGGCATTATGAAAATCCAGTCAAGGGCTTCAGGCATAAAAATGTAAACAATGTTGCTACTTATCATTTGTGCATATAGAAACACATAAACACGCATATGCAGATAAACAGGCATAGGGAAGCAGCCCCTAATGCAAAAATACAACTCTTAAAATAACAGAACTATGCTGCGTTTACGCCTCTTCCTTCATATTCATTTATATTCCTTTGTATCTAAATGAATATACATTTTACTTGTTCCTTTTCTTTCCTGGAATTTGACACTGGGGACAGAAGTTGGCTGAAAAGAAATCACTTTTCAGGACAAAAAGCAATAGCTACAAAAGTAACCGCAGCAATGTACAAAATCTTCTGAAGCAGTTTTCAAAAGTTTTATACTTTCAGACATAATTTTCTGCTATATATAAATTAATAAGATTTTACTACTGATTCAAAGACCAGTCTCTAAGGATGCTGTTTTATTTATATTTAATATCAGTAGCACCTGGCTATTCAGCTTCTTTTACTTTTTTGCCATGGAAACAACCTGTATTTGCCTGTGTGATAAATGATAATGTTCTGTACTAAAATGGATTTGGATGTGTATTTAAGGGTAGGCTATTCAAGTCTGGGGCATTTGTTTGTGTAAATTTTGATGCAAATTTATATGTCAAACATTACATTAAGCTGTTTCACCCTCTTAAGGTGACCAGTTTTGCCCCATGTACTATGAAGGAACTGTTTTTTTCTCCTCTGAAAAGAATGAAAGTGTCTGTCATCCTTTTTTGTTTTCTTTTAAATTTTCTTCTTAGCAGTCATTCTGGGTAAAATTTCCTCAACTAACTTCAAATAACATATAGGCCTGGCACTGAGATAGCTATATGGAGTGTTTTTATAGTCAGCAGGGAGAAATGGGAGTTGAAGGGTCCAATTAATCCACCTCCTAAGGTGGAACAGATGAACTTTGCCGTAGAAGTGCCTGTACAGGGAGTCAGTGGTGTCCACACACTGGACTTCAAGGCTGAAGCTTTCGCATGGTGAATCTGCTCCTCTGCATCTCACCTGTAGGCTGATTGTTGT